AGAACCCGAGAGAAAGAGAATTTCCCCCTGATACGTTTTGGATGAACCCGGGCAGGTGTTTAACACACATTGACATCCTGTGAAGAGAAGTGAATGGCGAAGATGCGTCTTTCTTGCGAACCGAACTAACTGGCTCGATGGCAGAGACGAAACCGCGCTTGACGACTAACATCGTTAACAGTATGGCACCGATGTAACGAACGCTGAAGAGATGAAGATCTGAACCCCTTCGGAAGGACCAGTACCGGATAGGACTGTATAATTAAGAATTGAGCGACATTAAAGACAAGAAGAAGATGAAAGAACGACCTGGAAACGCGACAAGAGAAGAGACGCTTATAGACTTTGACTTTAGCTATCTGTGTATTGCTTAGAGAACCGCTCGCTGGACACTGTAACTGACACTGTGTAACTCAAGGACGTTGAACTCTTTTCCAAACCAACCCTATTGCTCAGTAAGGCAATGTATTGTTTGCTTTTTCTATCTTTTTTCTTACCTTTTTTTTGTGATGTCGAATTGTATGTATGTAGGCGCCCAGATCTTTGTTTTGAAATGATATTTAGTGACGTTCGAGGTCCTTTATAACGATTTAAGCGCGTTTCAGTGGACAAGTATTTGCAACACAGTGTTTTGAGTTTTGTGGAGTTTATAGTGTTTTAATGAGTTCATGAGTACGTATTATGATGGGAGGAATGATGCCCCCACGAGTTTTTTAAGAGTTTTGAGATTTGTCGAGTACAGAGATACCGACGTTTTAAGAGTTGTTTTTTTATGTGTTGTTTTCCGGAATACTTCTGACGCTTTTTGAGTTGAGAGCACCTTTGTAACGTTTTTTAATGTCTTTTTGAGATGGGAGTTTGGTGCGCTTATATACGTATTGTTTGATAACGCAAGCTTTTGTTCATGATTGACAGGTTTATGTAACATAGTAGTTTCTATCGTTTTACTTTTCCCAGTCTTATTGCCAGAGAAGTAATGTATTATGAAAGCGAATTTGTCTTTGCATTCTGTTTCCACGCCGTATGACTTTTGTTTAGATAAACGACTTGTGAGTTCAGTTGAAGTTTATAAGCGTATATGACAGGAGTTTGATTAATAGT